ACAAGTATATTATTAAGAAAACATTTGCCCTTTTTCCAAATGCCGAAACCCGAAACAAAACAAACATAATAAAATAAAAGTAGGGAGTACAAATAAATAAAGTTATTTTATATCCACGACCCACAATCCTATGAGTGGATAATGTGTATTCTGTACACGTAAAACAGCCTCAAATCAAGTTACGCCAATTTATCAAATATCTTCAACCCATTACCAACCTTATGGCAAAACTATAAGGGTGAAAATAAATTAAAGAAATTGAATAGAACAGTATAGTTTCATATGCTTCTGCCTGTGTACCCACAAACAAAATTGCTTTTGTTCGTTACTCCAATCTATTTATTTGAACGCTGGAATTAAATTGAACCAACAATAAAAAATTCCTAATATTGGTCTTTCTGGAAAATCAATTGATTAACTATATAAAATCGCGGGTTAGTCACGTGAATATACTGAGAAAAGCTCTACTAGTTTCGAACCACAGAGGGGCTCTTCCTCATGAGCAGCGTGCGCGGTCGCGGCGACGTCGCGCAGCTCACTGGTTTTATATAGTTAATTTAGTATGTCTCACGATAGTTATTAAATCAATTAATTAATTCATAATTGAAGAGAAACATAAACGGAAACTGAAGTTTCAAAATTAAAAAAGCATCATTATTGTCATATCCAATTTTTCTAATAGGGTAAATTTTTTCTTTTTTTTATAGCATAAACCGGTAAACGAGCAGACGGATCACCTGATGGTAAGCAATCGGCGTCGCCCATGGACACCCAAAACACCAAGGCGTTACAAGTGCGTTACCGGTCTTTTGGGAATTGGGAATTTGAGGATTGTGGAGGATTCGGAAAACTAGGGAGCGGGGTAATTGGGCCTCCGGTAACCTCACTCACACGATGAAACACAACGTAAGCGTTGTTTCACGTCGGTTTTCTGTGAGGCCGTGATATCACTCCGGTCGAGCCGGCCCATTCGTGCCGAAGCATGGCTCTCCCACACTTAAACTTACCGTCTGGTAGATTATTTAAAAACATTAGACTCTTTTTTTTTCTTACGAAATCGAATAGTTTCGTAGCTATATTGATCTGAAATATCGCATGACGTCACGTTTGAGGACGATTTATACTCTAAAATGACGTCCCACCACCCGCTCTTAAAAAATGATTCGTTATAATTAAGTATTGTGTTATTCATTTATTCAAATAAAAAACTTAAATTAAAAACTACCTATTACTTAAAAAAAAAATTAAAACTAAATATTACTAAATTAAAACTAAAAAATTAAAACGAAATATTACTAAATTAAATACCTATATACAACTAAAACATTTTATTCTGTCTTAGGATAACTAAGTATTGTTATCCTAAGACAGAATAAAATGTAACATACCTAACTGACGGATGAATTAGATTTTTAATTTTCATGCCCTGTCATCATCCCTATTGTAACTTAGCCACATAAAACGTAAATAAAACTGCACAATATCACGTTGTTATCAATTTTGCTAGTTTTTGCACAATCGCTACACTACTTATCTATGCTAATTTATCTAATGGTATTGTAATTATCGAATTAATTGAGAAATTATAGCAATAGTGTGCAAACAAATATCTGGTATTATTTGATAAGCCACTATCATGCAACTGATTGGGGGCCACGAAAGGAGAGTCCCGTAAAAGGTACGAAACTGATCGAGTACAAAATACAGAAACATGCCGTGACTATTTGCTGGACTTTTTTGGTACAAGCCCGCCACAACCTCCAAATACTGCTGCAACTCCTGTAAGCCAGGATCTAGGTGGATACAACCATGAAAACATCATCATGTCCCAGGGACATGAATGTCTTGGATCTCACAACGAAGTAAATCAGATATATTGTAAGAGGAGAATGTAATGCTAGATTATAGATCTTCTCTACATAAGAAGGAAAAAGGAAGAAGTCCACCCATGTGCTTGTTTGTGTGCATAAAGTTTTTTAAATAAATAAATAAGAAGGTTTGCTACCCTTAGTGCCTGTGAAATCTATAGAGTAGTTCCTTAATCACCTCCTGCTCCTATGAGATTAATCTGCCAGAAAGCCCTTTTTTTGAGGGGGAAAGTCATCCAATGACTTCTCCCGCCTGGGTGAGGCGGGAGGGAGTGTCAGACTCTTACTGACTAAAAACCACCTACTTCTGCACTTCGAGCCGGAGCCCCGGCAACCCGTTAAGTCTTCCGCGGCTCCGTATCGGCATCAGCCTTGTTAAGCCCCATCTGTGGTGGTCTGATGGCTCCGTGAGGCGCGCGCGGAACGCGACGCACCGTACGCTCGGGCCTGGTTCTGATCGGGCGGCGAGTCACCCATGCTCGCCGTCCGCAGGCCCGTGCTTACGGTGGCCGGAGATCGTCTCGCGATCCCCGACGCCCGGAGTGTCTCTCGCGACGGCCGGGTCGTGAGGAGGTTCATTCCCTCACGCGCTCCGCCTCCTCCTTAGCTAGCATGACTGCTTCGCAGGAGGAGGCGACGGCATCCCAGTCCCCCTCGCTCCGTACCATGGTCTGAACCAGAGCCGGACGCGAGAGGTCGCCGTCGCCGATCTCATTCCTGAGGACACGGCGGTGCTCAGTCCACGCAGGACACACCGCCACCGTATGCTCCACCGTGTCCTCCGGGCGATCCTCGCAGTGATGACACCCGGGCGTTTCCTCCCGCCCAATCCGAAACAGGAACCTACCGAAACTTTCGTGTCCGGTAAGCACCTGCGTCAGGCGGTAGGTGAGGACGCCGTAGCGTCTCTCAAGCCACTCCTCAAAGAGGGAACTTACCGCTTGCCAGAAAGCCCTGCGTTTTAGAAATGACTATGGACTTTTGTCGATTTTCGCGATAAAACTTCGTCTATTGATAATTTTTAGATAATCTTAATAAACAAAATCACGGAGTCTAGAAGCTATCTATCTATCGCTATTATAGCAATATTAATTTTAATAAAGAAATAACGCTTTAAGAAAAACGATACTTTGATAGACTCGTCGCAGTTTTGTTATTAAACGTCTTAAACGAATTTCATCTCGTCTCGTCAAATATTCCAGCCGCAAAATTAAAGTACTTATTGAAACGTATATACCTAGATGTTGTGTTCATATTATAGGACCTCGCTAAAAGTAATTTTAACATAATTTAGACTCAAGAGAGTCCGTACTTTGCATAAATAAGATTTCTTTGGAAAAAACCAGTGCTCATTTATAACTTAGGTAGGTACTATAACTTTTACACCCTGTTTCATTCACCACGTCTGATTTTCGTTATTATAACTCTTTTCTTGTGTTCTCTCGTCTTGAGTGAGGCGAGAGAGTATGTCAGACTCTTACTGACTAAAAACTATCCTGTTCTTACTGCTGCTTCGAGCCCCGGTAACCCTTTAGGTTGTCCGCAGGTACTGGAGTTATTATAACTCTGTGGAACAATTTTACTACTTAGGTACTTGTGTACCTACATCTACCTATAACTAAAGATTTCGGATCAGCACAAATGTTTCTTCCATTGTGTTCATAAGACGTTATTCTATTACAAACTCCTTTCTCCTTCATATCATTTCTCCAAATTGTGTCCATTTTTTCTATGACCTTGCTTCTTCTTCCTCTTTTCATCTGCTTCATCTCATGCTCTTAATTATTATCTCTTATTTTCATAATACAAAATGAAATAGATTTGTACAAAGTTATTAAAAACTATGAAATAACATAAAAAGTAATCAATCATGTTTTCTAACTTTTCACTTTCTCATTCCTCAGTAAGAGTAATGCAAACAATTGTTTCCACAGATAATATTTAGATTGGATGTAAATCAGACGGCCTGGCATTTCAAAGTTTATATAAACTTATATTAAAATGAAATTGCGGATTCGCAAACTCTCACTTATAAAGTTTATTAAACTTTATAATTCATTAACTTACATCGTTTTCGGCTTTGTCTTCAGAATTTTTTAGCAAATATTTAATCATTATGAATAATCTTAGATAATGTTTTTTCGTAGGTAGTGAAAGAACCTAAATAATGATTATTATTGGATATAAGCCATGTTTTCTTTGGAACGCGGGCGAAATCACGACGAAATAAATAACAGCTCAGTTATGTAGGTAGTTAGGAATAAACTGTTCAACCTTTTCTTTCTTAAGTTGCTTGAATTAGTTCAATAGGAAAAAGGTACAACGTGAACTCTACAGGTAATTAGACCTTAACCCAGAAACGAGAACCACGTCACACACGTGTTAGGGAGAGTCCACCCATAGATTAGAATTACCAATGACGAGGAAATAGCCTAAACGGGGAGGAAAACGGGACATATTCGCAGAACTGACAATTCACAGATATGACGTCATAAATGTTGCCACAGTACCTACGTCATGATGACACCGAAGTGACCATATCCCGTTAACAGTTCCGAGTACAACTAAATTATAAGGAAACGCTGTTACACAAGAAAATCCTACTTTCTAAAGATGAAACCCACAGATATGGAAATGTTAACAATTCCGGCGAGATTGAAATATACATTAAGCTTGATAAATTATTTACTGATGTTCTTGGTAACATTCGTGCGCGTTATAAATGTCGAGGAATACGCGCACGGCCATCTGTACGCGCAGATTGCAACGCGCAAATACCGCCTGTGGTGATGTAGTGCGTGTGATTGAAACTGGCACTGGAAAACAAGATTAATAATTAAAACTTATTACATTTGGATATATAAACTGGACATTGCTTGTAAACCTTAAGACAAACTGGATGAATCTTAATAAGAGCTTATGCTAACTCAGATACCTATCCAGGTAACAATAATCATTAATAAGTTACGAACAAGTATTAGTCTGGTTACCCCAACCTTAACTGAATTGATTTTGTGTTACTGCGTTTGAAATTAAATCGTTTCGACCTAAAATTTTCTAACCTATACCAGCGTATCTTCCTTCCTTATAAGTCGTCTCACACAGCCACGAGAAATCTTGTAACTTTAAATTCTATTTAGAAATCCATTTCTCAATAATCCACACAATGAGCCAGCCAGATCTAAACTCCACAGATTTCATTCTTCGAAGTGCAAGGCAAACAAAGCGGCTGTAGGTACGTCGCCTTTTCACCGCGCGCTTGCTATAGAAAGCCTGCGCCTGCGACGATGCGCGCGCGTTCGCGGAACAACGCTGCCCGCACAATGCCGACCCAGCTGCGCCTTCCTGGTACAACTCACACCCGAGGACCACCACATGAGGACTCACAGAATGTCCACTACGCACTAGTTCCATGGTTTCTTAAGTCTAGAGAAACTGGATGAGTAGGTATAGGATTGGTTCAGTAATGTGAAATTTTGTAGCATCTGTTAAAATCGTATTGATGCCGCTCTTGGTATAAGTTTATCATCCTTTATTCATCAATGTTCTTAAATTCTGCAGTAGTTTAAACTTAGAGAAACATAAATTCAGTCAAAAGTTTTACCATTAATATCAGTAAATGTGTTCTAGCAAATTAGACTGTCTCAACGAGACAGATTTATAAATGTTCCTTCCGCAGAACTGACATTGAGACGACAGTAACTCAGCGCGACCTTAACCTACATTCAAGAAAATCAGAAATATAAACATGAATGTAAAGAAAAGAAAACCTTTTATTTCTAAGAAAGGTTGACTTCATCTCGTTACCAGTCTTTGTTCGCCTTCTGCACATCTGCGTCGCTCCGTATACCCACATAATGTTTGTTTTTACACCACAATACGATGAAGACGTTAACTTGAATATTCTATATTTCCATTTACCTCAACAAAAATGTGATAACACGCATGATTTAACGATTTCCAGACATCATAATGTAATAGTCTCACGACCACTGGACCATTACTAGATAAGTAGACAACACACTCCTTGCTCAACGGTTCTACGTACGGTTTTTTGTTAAACTCCGAAGGGAAATGGTCTCGGAACGATCACTATAATGTCATAAATGTGACCATTAAAGGTAACAGGAAAAGATACAACAGGAATATAATAAGTTTAACATGAGTGACCAACCGATTAGACAAGGCAAAGATAACAATAAGACTGACTACCTAGTATGGAGATTTAATAGTCTTTTGCCAATTTGAAACTGATTTATTGCTTTAAGCATTTATGTTGTATCTTGTAGCCATTGTATTATTCTTATGTAATCGTAGCTTTTATAGTTACATTGAAGTCTTACAAAATATCGTGACGTGAGACGTTACTTGCGCAATTGTCCCCAATGCACGATAATAATCAAAGTAAGTAATAAAATTAGCCACACCACAAAAGAATGATCATGTAATTTATTGGTAAACACAACTGCCGAATTATCAAGAAGCACGACTGTTATAACGATTTCAATTGAAATGAAGTGCTCAAAACATATCGATTTCAAGAATCGAGTCGTACAGTTTTTAGTTGGTCGTTACTTATTGCGAACCGTCTCGTCTGCTCTGACGCAGTCCGCCAGTGAATTCTACAGAGAATATTTAAATTAAAATACAGAGGATCCATATAATTGACACGCGATAAAACACATTACACTCATTAAGATCTAATAAAAATGCTTTTAAAATTTCTGTTAGCTTTAATTAAAGAGCTATTGTTTCTTCGTCCAATCAAAACATGTTTGTGCAACATTCAAATGAATGTTCAAGGGCGCTGAAGTCGTAAATATAGTGGATATGTATGTGAGATGCTTGTAAATATAAATAGTATTTCTCGGAAATTGAATTAACTGTTTTATTTTGATCGCTAACGGAGATGTGGCGCCGGCGAATGCGACGCAAGTAGCCGTGTGTATTTTGCGTAAGTTTTTGTATGTATGTCGTGATTCATTGTTAAAAAGCATGTGACAACACGTCATATGTAGGTGCAAGCTATTTTCGTACCTCGTGACGTCACAGTGAGCGTCAGGGCGACAGTTTCCTGTCTTTATAATAATAAACAGCCATACGAAAAATGTTGTCTTTTATGTATTTGTTGTGTTTTTATTTAACGTTATTGGGTTTGTTTCGTATTACGAAATATGTAAAGTATGTTGACGTTGGTCTTGATTTGTAGAATCCTGCCAACGAAGTCTTGACGAATTGCGTAAATAAAGGGTACATCAGATGAAGTTTTCAGTGTTAGACACTTTCCATTTCTTGTGTTTCCATAAACACAAGATTAATATAAATAAAGCTACATAAAACACACTTGTCTACCAATTCTATGTCAACCATTAGTTGTTTAAGTACTTATGTTATTTTTTTTTCTTTCAATTATTAATTAACAAAAATCTTATTCAAGGTTCACTAAGTTGTACTTCATTTTTACAAAAGACAAAAGGCCATTAATTTTGTCGTAGCTCACTAAGTTCATAAATTCTTTGAATTCATCCCTAATAGAGTAATTACAGCGTCTTATGCCCAATTCACACTATGCTAGTAATTTAGTCGAGTAGTGAATAATTATTTAGTACTCACGCGCTTCTTTCTATCTCAAAATCGAAGCAAGAGAGAGCTACTAAATAGGATAAGTGCGCTTGTTCGTGTCCATATTACGGATCGCTATGAATCTATTCTATGATACTAAAAACGTGTAAGATCAAAAAAATGTGTACTAACTACTACTACTATGTTGGTAGCTTTCTTATTTTCGGGAATTTGCAGTGTGGGAGAGCCATGCTTCGACACCAATGGGCCGGTTCGACCGGTGATACCACGGCCTAACAAGAAACCGACGTGAAACAACGCTTGCATTGCGTTTCGTCGTCTGAGTCAGGTTAGCAGAAGCCCAATTACCACCTCCCCAGTCCCCAAATCCATAACAATCCTCAAACTCCTAGTTCCCAAAAGGCCGGTAATGCACTTGTAACGGCTCTGGTGTTTCGGGTGTCCATGGGCGGCGCTGATTGTGTACCGGCTCAACTCTGAAAAAAATCAAAGGGCGTTCCGTAATATGGACCCAAATTTATTCTACCTATTCGCTACTCGACTATGACCACAGAAATATTATATGTCTACTAGCGGACCCAACAGACGTTGTCCTGCATATCCACTTGAATGTAACAAAAATTCATTCAAATTAGTTCAGCTGTTTAGGATAAATAACCTAAACATCGACTGAAGCGCCATCTGCCGGGCTGATTTGTGAATCAAAACCATTCCCAGATCCCCTTGAACACACACAAAAAATTTCATCAAAATCCGTCCAGTCGTTTGAGAGAAGTTCAGTGACATACACACTCACAGAAGAATATAAAGATAACACTAGCGCAGTGTGGACAAGACCGTACGGTCGTACCTTCTAACCTATTTTCTACTTCCATTGAGCCTCATTAAAACGTCGGTTTCAGGTGAAAGGTACGTCGTCACAAAGGAATGTCTTAGTTCAAAGAAAATGATTAAAAGAAGATAAAATGGCACAAAGGCTGTGTTAGCGGAACCGGATTATTATTTCTATAGGTATTAAATTGGAGTCTGACTAGGTAGTTATAGTTAGTAATGTCCAATCTAATGTGTTAGATTGTTTGTTTGTTCGTTTCATTGCTAAAATTGTTATGCTATGTATAAATAGCAAAAGATAGAGATAGCTATCAGATTATTGGTACGTATTTATGTATTTTTTTTTTGCTTGAACACTTGTTAAATTATAAGTTTGAAATCGCCAACCCGCATTGAGCAAGCGTGGTGATTAATGCTCAAACCTTCTCCGTGCAAGAAGACGCCTTTGGTCAGCAGTGGCTACTTAAAGGCTGTTGATGATGATGATGACTTGTTGTCCACGACTCATGTAAGGGTCCAGAAGAATATCAGCTCAATACCTTCTTGCGTCTGATGGACTTGTACCTCTCTACATCTACAACAGTGCTATTGCTGAAAATTATAGTCTCAAAAGTCATCTCGCAAATCATACTTTAAAAAGACCACTAAAAATGTCAATATACCAACATCCAATATGATAAATACGTGTCTAACGTAATTCTTTACCAGGGCCTTTAGCCAAACACCACTTTAGCGCTTGTCTACAGAGAGAGTAGAAATCAAAATGTATGGGGATGACACTGACAAGTGTCAAAATTTATGTCAATACCATACAATTTGGTTTTCTATTCTACAAGTAGACAAGCGCTGAATGGCATTTGGCTACAGCTGCTGGTAGCTCTAGTCTTAGTCGAACTCATTTATTTTCAGACAACGAAAGTTTAGTCTCACAGCTGATTTTGAAGTGACTTTAAAATTAAGACAAACACCCCTTGCACCATGCTACTGTAGTAGCCTTATCAATTCTTTTATGCTTGAAGAAATGCATTTTTCTTTGTATCTTTCTATTTATTTATTATCTTTGTCTTCCTTCTTAAACAAAATAAATAATTGAAATTAAAACAGAGATGTAGCAACTCAAATTGTCTAGCAAAAAATAAATATATATTTTGTACGTGATCACGAGCAAAACGGAGAGCGGAATCGTTAATATTTACCCGGAATTCGTTAAAAGTAATTCAATGCTGTCGACTGTCGTTTTCATTCTTGTATTTCATTTTTTTTCCGTTATGTACCCATCAGAAATGACATAGACTTTTTGTAAAACAGGATCAATCGAACTTTTGCAAATTGTATAAAAAATATCTAAGTATTGTAAGCCCTAAGGTCGCCTCAATATAAAAATGTAGGTGCTAATCGTTAATCAATTTCTTAATCGATTAACTTCGATTAATTTACTTGTCAGTTAGAAGCAGGGAATGTTTAATGTTTCCGCGAAATAATCAAGTTCGGCATCGTTTTACTCGACTATTTCAAATTGCACTCTCGCTTCATTGCACACCCCTAGTCTTAGCTACTTTTATTTAATTACATTAAGTGGTAACCCTATATGGTGTAAGTAATAATCTAGTCAGACAAGATTGCTTTTTGTTAGTCTTATAAACAGGTAACATTTTTTTATTAACTTACAAAAAGCTCTTACGCTACTTAATTGAGAATTACAAAAAAAGTTTCTTACACAAAAACACGAGAAAATTATAGAAAACACACATTACATTCAGATGACTTCTGCTATAGGTACCACCATCCCTTGGGTACAGTTACCACAGAATTAGGAACTCAGGTATTGATGACTTCCGTTACATTTCCCTTGAGACCCAAATGTTACGCATACAAATTTATTCTTCGAAGGATAGCAATCTTGTGGTAATATTTATCAAACATCATCCCCATCATAACGTCATTGGTCAACGGCGTTTTAATCCCTGATGGGGTCCCATTAGTTCGTCTTCGTAAGAGGA